CAGTGTCGCGCCGGATAGGCACGGGAGCCCACTGCATCTCGCGGTGCGGCAGCCGTACGAAGTCAACCCCGCCTGCGCGTCCCATCGCCGCAAGCCGGTGGCAGCACAGCACGGCGACCCCTGGCGGCGCTCGGGGCTCGGGCGCATCGCTGGAAGTAAACGTGCGGAGCTGGTAATTTTGGACAGCTTGCCGCACCGAGGTTTCACCCGAGACCCGCACTGGTATGTCCACTCCTTCGCGACGACACAGTGATCGCAGGTGTTCGTCGTGGAGTCCGGACCACCCCCCCGGCACGCAGTCGGGGGGCAGCGGCTGTGGCGACAGACCGGGCACAGCGCAGGTCTGGTGGACCAGTGGTGACCAGTGGCTTGCGCACGGTACTGTGCTAAGCACTCCAAGTGCATGGAGTGGCGGCTGCACGCGGGAAAAGGGACGCGCAGCTCGGCACCTTGAGCGGCCGGCAGGAGGCGCTCAAGGCAAATGCAGCAATTCTCTTCTTCACTGGCCGGCGGGGCGGGCGGCGTCACGTCACCTGCCGCAGGGATTCGCAAGGGCGTGGAGGCGGAGCTGACTGACAGCGGTGACTGCGGTGCGCGCTGGCCGCGCTCAGGTGTGTCCGAGCGAGAAGCTCGGCGGGACATGCCGTGCAGGGTCGAGGCGTTGGCAATGTGGCAACCGTAGGGCTTTTAGGGGGTGTCCACACCGCAATGCACAAGAAGTGTTTGGCAGAAGACCGTTTTCCGGAGCAACTGGTGCGTGGCGCGAATTGCGTCCAGGTGTGAGAGCAGGCACAAAGGTTCGGAAAAAGGGTCAAGGATGGTCAAGGCAGCCCGGGCAGCCTGGCAGTCGGCGCCCGATGCTTCAGGGAATGATGGCAAACAGCAAAACTCCAACAGAAGATTGCAAGTGCCTTCACAGAAAACTGCAGAAAGCCTGTTAGCGGTGAGCCCGTGGCGGCCTTTTGGGACGGCGCCACGAGGGTCGAGGCCTGCCTTAAAGGTGTACTGGCAAGCACTTTACAAACTGAGGCTCCGACAAGCTGCTGCAGTCGGCACCTGGGGCAAGCCGGCTGTCGGCGCTCCAGGTCGGGATGCAAAACTAGTCGCCGGTGCCTGCGCCCTGGCCAAAAAGCCGCCGCGCGAAGCTCAGGTGCTCAAGGGCGCGCGCTCCTAGCAGGGGGGCAGCGCCAAGTATGCAGCCAGGGCGGGAGGCACTGAGGCACGGGCTGCAGGAAGAAAGGCGACGACGAGACCTGCGAGTAGCGGGCGGCTGCAGTGAGCGTGCGGCCGGGGTCGGCGCGAGACTGTCACCGCTGGTTTGCCCCTGCGCACGAAAGGGGGTGGGCCTGGCAGGGCAGGCGCCGAGGACAGAGGTTTGGCCGCGGCTCTTGCCACGCGCCTGTCACGCTCGCGCTGGCCAGCCCGTTGCTGCGGCGCCGGCGGCAGCGCGCGTCGGTGGTTGCAAAGTGCCCCCAGCGCACTCGACCTTTGTTTGGAAAAGGACCAGCAAGCCACGGGCCTGGTCCAGCACCGCTTCCAGCTCGACACCTCGCAGGGTCAAGGCGTTCCATCCAGCGTCGAAGGCAACCCACCGACAGCTACAAGGCCCCCCAGCAGCTAGACTTTGAGCCTTGAGCTTGAGCCAAAACGATGGGCAAGAGTACCGGCAACCAGGCGACGGGAAATATTTAAATTATTTAAATTCCCGGCCCGGCCCCCTCCCCGGGGTCTTCCCCAATATTTAAATTATTTAAATTATTTAAATTCCCGGCCTTTCCCACCCAGAAACCCACATAGGGTTTATTTGGAAGCTGTCTCTCTTTATTTGTAATTAGGTAGCAAAAAACCCGAGTGCCAGCTTCCAAATAAACCCGGTTTAAGCCGCACACGGGGGCGGGGGTGGGGTGGCATATGTGAATGTTACTTAGCAGCTCCTGACCCTACCCGACAATGTCTTTCAATGTTACTTAGCAGCTCGTGACCCTATCTGACAATGTTACTTACTTAGCATCTACTGCTGTGTGCTTATGATTGTAGTCCAGGGTGCAGAGTGCGGTTGCTGGCTTAGGTTTTGGGGGATGGGTTTCGGGGTTTCGCTTTAAAGGCAAGCAGAGCCTGAACACATGTGTCTTCGAATGCGACTGTGAAAGTGGCTTCGTAAGTTAAACAAACAGAAATATTCCAGAAGCCCAACAGAAACATGTTACGTAGCCGCTTCTGCTGGGGGACTTGGTGTCCATGTTACTTAGCGGCTCTTGCCTTTAGCTGGGGCTTTGTGTCCTCGATACTTAGCAGGTCCGAAAAGAAACATGTTACGTAGCCGCTTGGGGGGGGGTCTATTGCTGTCCATGTTACTTAGCAGCTCCTGGGCCTGGAGTGGTTCCTGTTCATGCTACTTCGGCACTGGGACCCTCAAAGAGACAATGTTACTTACGATGTAGGACACACACGGTTTACGCATATTCTGCCCTCTGCTTAGTTTGCAAGCTATATGCATGAACCCACGGAATCATTGTTATTCCCGACTCAAGACTGTGGAAGAAACACTGAAGAACCCACACTCTGCTATCATGTTACCTGGTCCATGTTACTTAGAGACGGAGTCTGGGTTTAGGGTTCAGGGTATTGGGTTCGGAGTTCCCGATTTGGGTTTAGGCTTGAGGCTTCAGGGTTCGGGGTTTAGGGCAAGAGGATTTAGGCTGGAGGCCTTCAGGTTTCAAACCTTTAGAAATTCCAGACTCTGAAAGAACTCGCTGCCGCCTGTTTGCACCGACCGCGATCTCACTGCGGCCGCTTCTCCCCCGGCGGCTGGGGCAAGCTCCTTCGCCGCTTCTCAGAAGGCACCGGCTCCTGAGCTGCGGCATTTTATTGTAGAACCCCGGGGCTGTCTTTATTCTCAAATCAGGCTGGCTTCCTGTCTAAACCTGGGATGTATTGCTGCCTGGAATCCAGAGTGCTTGGCGGAGATCGCCGGCGAGGATCGCGAGGACGAGTGATCCTCGCAGGCGATTAGTACTTGGTCTTCTAGAGGCCGGGAAATCGTGAGGAGTCCCTCAAATCCAAGAGTGCAAAGAGGTTCTTGGGGAGTTTGCTCATGGCCACAACCCAATACCGGCCTGCTGATGGCCTCCACCTCCACGGACGGAGGCCTTTCCTCCTCCTCCTCCTCTTTGGCCGCCCTGGGCCTGGGACGATATTTCGAAAACTCAGCAATGTTACTTAGAGGGGGCAGCAGGGCCCAGCGACAATGCTACTTAGAATGTTACTTAGAAACTGAGCAATGTTACTTAGTGGGGGCAGCAGCTCCTAGCGAATGTTACTTAGAAACTCGGTAATGTTACTTAGAGGGGGCAGCAGGGCCCAGCGACAATGCTACTTAGAATGTTACTTAGAAACGGAGCAATGTTACTTAGAGGGGGCAGCAGGGCACAGCGAGAATGCTACTTAGAATGTGACTTATAGAAACTCAGCAATGTTACTTACCCAGACCACCGTTCGGATCTATAAAATAGAGCCGCTTGAAGATAAGCAATATAGAGCCGCTGTTGCCAAAATAGAGCCGCAGCTTAAAAATGGAGCCGCCAGCCGGCTTCACGAAAATCAGCAAAACAGAGGTAATACGGGGTTTGAGCCAAAACAAGCGATGAGACACGACTGCTGCATATATGCACGAATGCATATACTTTTGTGCCGAAAAACGGCAGCAGTTTGTGCTACACAAATCGCAGATGCTCATGATTCTCGCCATTTGTGCCAGGAAACTCGTATTGAGCCACAAACTCGCTTGAGCCAACAAAACATTAGGGACATTAGGGTTTTGTATGGTATATGGATGAAACATTTTATGAAAATATAACGAATGGTAAGACAAAGCGCACACATCACTGTGTTTGAATGCTCCGGCTTCGGGTTCAGCAGGCTGGGGGCTTTATAGGGTTTGGAGCTGAGGGTTTAGAGCTTACATGTTCAGCCTAAGCCCTAAACCCCAGACTACGAAGCCCTAAGCGCTCGAGTTAGAGAGTTCAAGGCCTTGGGCTTTTGGGTTTTGGAGCTTCAGGCTTGAGGCTTTGGAGTCTTCGAGCTTTGGGGCTGGGTGCTTCAAGCCTTCAGAGTCTGGCGGTTTACTGGGTTTGTGCATTTTGTCCTTGAGGCCTAAACCCCAAGCCGACAGTATGTTATGCACTGCAATAAAGTTGCAACGGCTTTCGGATTTGAGGAATTCTTCGGTTGGGATTCGGGGGAGTGAGATCTTCCAACATCTTCCGACAATATTTTCGGTCGTTGAAGCCGCCTTCAGATATTATGGCCCTAAACCCTGAACTTTCAGAGCCCTGTGCCTATGACGGTTTGAGATGTCGAGCTCTGGATCGAAGGGCTCGAGTCAACACAGACACAAAGACCTGCACACTTACTTCAAACTTGACTTTCGAAGCCAAGATGTAGCACAAGCCTGTCGCCGACCTTAAAACATCCTTAACCCCTAAACCCAAGAAAACCCAACCCCCAATCCTTGGATTGTTGCTGCTGGCTCTTCTCGATCGGCGGTGCTGGAGCATGCAACTTGGCAGCTGTGCTGTGGGGCTTTGGCAGCATTTTATGTTGACCCTAAACCTTACAACATCTCAATACACAGCCCGGCCCACAGAACACGTCGCATGCAGCGGTGAGATCTAGGTCGGCTTCGCCGAAAGAGCTTTGCAAGTCGTCCATCATCCTGCGGCAAGAAGTTTACACTCAATAATGTCATGCTTTTCCAGAAGCCCAACCCAAATGTACGAGGAAATCTTAGAACCTTAGATTCCTAAATTACCCTAAACCTGAAAAGGTCATTTCGGCTTTCGGATTTCGGGTTTAGGTCCCCAAGGGTTGGGTTGAAAATAGCTATAGCCGTGGGGCCCGTTTCGAAACTCTAAACCCAAGCACATATACATAGCTCACTCCCCCTGGGTAAACCTGATTCAAGATGAAAGGAAAAATGCCGACAGCCCTTATCTTCGGATTCATCTTATATAATAAGGTTTGAAAACCGTGCCTCCCGAGCAATCCATGCCATCGCCAGTTCGCGACTCCGCTTTCACGGTTTCCAAAATCTGAAGTTTGCGATAGACAGCATAAGCCCAGCCTCGTCTGTGCACCGACCGACAGACTCTGGCAATCGCCCCATTGTAAGACTCATCCACGTATGTTGTGTATGTTCGCGGGTTGCCCTGTTCGACAGACCTCTGGATGCAGTGGTACATCAAATGGGCTTTGGGCAATATCGGAAGGCCAGCACGATTGCACAGTACGATGAAGCGGTTGTAATGCATCAGCATCTCTTCGGCAGCTCCTTCATCGATTTGTCGGCCATGTCTGGCCAGCACAGCATCAAAAGCCAGGGCACTTTGCCCGGCGTGTCGCAAAAGCTCAAAAAACAACTGGTCCTGTTCGCTGCCGCTGGTCGACAGCTGATGACTGTACTTTTGCAACATCTCACACACGAATGCGAGCAATCCGTGCGTCTCGGCCGCTTTGGCTTTCAAGTGCTTCTCCGCAAGCATCGAAAGCGTCAGATTCCAGACCTGGGCAGGGGTTGGCACCGAAAAGTTTTGTTATGATTCTAAAAAAAGTTTTAGAATTATAGGGTTCAGGGGTCAAGGTTTGGACATGTGCGGGGCCTCGGAGCCCTTCTTCGACCAGTTCGGGTCAGTTTGCCGTCGCAGCTTGTAGTGGCTTTGTAGTTCAGCTCTCATGCAGAGCAAAGAAAGTTTGTTGAGCTCTTCTTTGTCTAGCCCCACGATTGATGGCTTCCAAATGTCAGTGTCCAAAAACCTTCTCAAAGTCACTGTGATAAAGGTAGATAGCGGCCCAAAATGCCACGTGTGAAGAAGGTCAATATTCCATGTGGCAAGGCTGACACCAGGTATCCGAAGAAAAGGGCTGTCGTGCAAAACCCTTCCATGCTCACCACCAAGGTAAAACTGGCAGATAAAGGGAGTAGTCATGCTATCGAAAAGTGCAACATCAGGCATTGCAGCTGACGGCTCCAGGCGGCTGCCCTTCGGGAGGCCCAGAGCAGGGAAAGCCTTCGACAAAGTTCGGCCCCGGGTCTTTCGGCGATAAATCAAAATCCTATAGAGCTTCTGCCGCATGTCGTCGTTGGCGACGGTGACTTCCTTCTGGGACATTGAGGGTTTAGGGTTCATTTCAGGGTTTAGGGCTTAAGGCTCCAAAGAAGTTGCTAAAAAAACCCTAACAAACTCGACCCTAAAACCGCCAGCCTTGAAGTTCTGTCTCATGTACTGGTTCATTGCAGCATCGTCAAACAGTGGATGCGGGCACGTCCTCAGAGTCCAGTTGCCCAGCACTTCAGTGAGTTGAGATTTCTTGCAGAGGCAGCACGGGCAACAGTGTTCATTGTGACTCCAGGTTCGCAGACCACAAATTTCGGCCAAGGCTGGCCAATCGGCCTTAAAATCAACCACTGCCAGCCGTAGATCTTCATGGCTAGCAGAAACATCCTCGCGGAAAGCCTCCAGGAGTGGCCAGACGGAGCACCAGCCCCTGCAGCCGCACTGGCATAGATCTGAGAGTCCTGCCAATAATCGTTCCCTTAAACCATAGACTCCCTAGAGCCCTAGACCCTATAGACCCTAAGCCCCAAGCCCTATAGAAAAGCTAGAAACAATTTCTTGGAAAGCAAGACACTGAGCAGCCAGACGAGTCGCTGTTGTTTTGGTGCCCGGAGATTAGTAATATAAAATCCCAAGAAGTTCTCGTTCTTGCTGTACTGGACACCATCAAAGTAAACAGATATTGGCACGACACACTCGCGGGGAATCCCTTCGCTCAGGGCTTGCACTGTGACCGGGTGCTTTTCGTAGCGGTCGCCAAGATCTCTATCATTACGAAGGAACATATCCACAGCGGTTTTGCAAGGCTTTGAGGTTCCTAGGAAGTTCAAGGATTTCAGCTCCTCACGAATCATATCCGAAGCAAGACGAACTGGGTGCTTCATGGATGTCCTGAGAACCTGGTGCTTCGGATTCATAGGAACTGTAATCCATTGTACACGAGGTTCCGGAAATTCCTTTCGTAGGTGGCACCTTACGGATTGATGGTGTTGTTCAGGGATTTAGCCGAAATTGGGTTTGTATGAAAATTGTTCATCACCCGGATAGTAACTGGGCTTCGGGCTTTAGGGTACGGGTGCTTTTGGGGTTTGTTTCGGCGTGAGAATCAAAGGCAGCTTGAGGCACTTCAAGTGTTGGGAACCATGGATCGTAGCTTGGTCAGGCGGTAGTGCTAGATCTTCGGCGCCTGCACCTCCACTTTCGGTATGATAATAAGCCAGCAAGCAGCAGTCGGCAGCGGTGATTGAGCCTTCGGTGTATCTCTCCAGCAGAAAAGATCTAAACGTGGCACCAGATTTGTGCAGAGCAGCCCGGTCATCTTCACGATCCCATCTGTCATCAAGACCATAGGCAGAGGCCGAAAGTTCAGCCCTTTTTCGCTTGAGCGACATGCAGCCAAGGGCGTGCCATCAGCAGCTGCATCGGCGAGGAGTGCAGTGTTGCAAGCGGTGGGTTTAGGAGTTTAGTGCCTTTGAAAGTTTTGGTTGGGATTGCGAATTTCGCTTGAGGGTTTCTGTTCGAGGTCTCATTCGGATCTAAACTCATTTTGCTACAGTTGTGTAGTAGCACGTGATGAAAGATCCTAGTTAAGATTTCGCGAAAGCAGCTGCTACTCGGATCTCGGCCCGATACTACAGCAGTTCCAAACCATGCCGTCATGATGCATCGCACTGCCTCAGCACAGAGTTCTGCAACAACTGGCATGCGTGGATTTGCACGACTCACGAAACATGTTGCCTGGGATATCTCGTACTCAGACCTACAGCACCACAGGCTCTTGCATCAGCTTTCTAATAGTGGCGTCAATAAGGGTCATTGCACAACACGTGGACCTAAGGGTGCAACCTGCAACTGATCTTGAACACATCTCGCTATATGGATTGTCTGCAGAAACCTCAAGCGTGGACAGTAGCATCATCTGTTTGTTCCGACACAAGATGCATCAGCGTGCGATTGAGGATGTCGCCGGCCTGTTGCCAAGCTCCCCAAAAGTCCCCAGCTAACTCCGATTATCGTGAGATAATAGCACCCAGCAAGCAGCAGCAGCTAGGTTCGATCACAAGCCTTCTTCTCGTATTCCAACAGCTTGGGACCTTAAGAGCCCTAACCTTAAATCTGAGCCCCTAAGCTTAGACCCAAAGAAGAACAAAGACCATGCCGAAGCTCCTGACACAAGCGGAATTGATTCTAATAAGGTCGGAACATGTATCAGTTGATACTGTAGGAATCTAAGCAGAATCTAGGGCAGCTGAAGATGAAAGCTTTCAGGACCGCGGTTTTATCGGAGGCGGCCATTATCGAAACCGCGGATCGGATGCGGAAAGGTCGGGGGATACTGGGCTCCGGGTTTAAGCTTATGGGGGACCCCGAACTATATCAAACCCTATAAAGCATAAAACCTGAAGCCAAAACCTAGAGTCCTAGAGCCTAAACCCCACAACCGGCAAGCTCAAATCTTAACTCGTATTACGTATAACAATGCAAGGCTTAAACTCTAAACCCTAAGCCCATAACCTAACTATAAGCTCTAGCCCCAAGACTCGACCAGACTGACTAAATAGCGAGGATCCAGATTTCAGACTGCGACCGAACTGTGCAGCTAGCCTGCACCCCTTGCCACAAGCTGGAAAAGCCTACACTACAGACGGCAGGGATCTAGTGGAAGCGGTTCGTTTGATGCCCTTACCCTTGGCCTTAGCCTTTGGCTTGCTGGCACTCTTGAGAGCGTCTGCGGCCGAAAGTTTGGCACTCGCCATTTGCTCAATTTGGAAGGCTGCCTCGGCCATCTTGGTGATCGGCGGCCCCAGGACAGTGACAAACTCCACCAGCTTGCCCACGTAGCCGTCGCCGTGCTCCTTCTTGATCTTTGCACTCTCCTTGGGGCTGAGGGCTGCCACCTTGAGCGATTGGAAGTCAGGGTTGTCGCAGTAGAGCTTGAGAACCTCAGTGCGAAAGTTCTTGTAGGAGGCCAGCAGGTCAGAAGCCCAAGTCCAGCCATCGGGGTTTTTTGCTTTCTCATGCATCACACGGCCGATGGCCACATCTGAGCTTTGTTCCATTGCCAGGAACTCTTTCACTTCCTTCTCTTTCTTAGGGCCTGTCTGGTCCTTCTTGGTTTTGGTTTTCGGGTTCGGAGTGTCAGAGCCGTCCGGGCCAGGACTTCCATTGCCATCGGCTTCCTCAGCCGCCTGCTTGGTTCTCTTATTGGCTCTGCCTGCTTCAACAGCATCCTTTCCAGTCTTGGTGAAGGCTGCGTTGTTGCTGCCATCCTTCCTCGGGAAGTTTGCTTGGGCTTCGGGGGACATGGTCTTGTAGAGCTCGGCGTAGCCCTTGATACCCAAAGTAGTCTCGGCAACATCCTTTTCAGAGACCTGGTTAAGAGGCTTCTGCATCGCATGAGCATAAGCACGTAGTGCTTGGCACACATTGACCTTCTCGGCGAGGCTGTTGGGCACAGTCTCCCTAGTTTCCACTGTGACCGTGTTGGTCCACTGCTGCTCGTTGCTCGATGAAATCAACGTCTCCACCCAAAAATAGGTCATGGCATCCAACCAATCGTTGTAGAGGGTGCAGAACTCCTGCGTTCAAGACAGACACCAGGGCCCAAGTACATGGAAAACCCGAAGCCCTGAACCCACAACCCCTATCCCGAACCCTAGCTCTCTATAAAAGGCTTTAGGTTCAGGGCTTCCAGTTGATGGTTGTAGGATAGGTTAACAGAGGGGCAGCTTATATTATGTATACGTTAGGGTCTGGGGTCCACTACAAGTTTGAGGCAGGTTAGCTTTTGGGGTGTGGGGTCACGAAGTTGAGAAAGCTTTCGTCCTTCAAGCCCGGTCGTGAGCACATAGCAATGTAGCGATCCGCCTGCCTCACTGCTTCAGGTTGATCGGTGCCGCCGAGGATGTTGACCAACTGAAGCTTGGTAACAAACTTTCCGATTTCATCACGTCTTTTTCTGAAAGACGTAGAGGTGGTACGAGTCGTGACCATAAAGTCGAAAGACTTGGTAGCCGTCCAAGCACGTCGAAACTCGAGCTTCATCGCATCGGTGAGTACCATGTAAGCGGCACTCATGTCTGGTCGCCACTTCATGGCTCGCTTCATCTGCTGAGCATGCGAGCCACGGGCCGAAAGATCTTCCTTTTGCGTAGCCCAGAACATGATGCCTTCGGTAGAGTCGATCACCTGCTTCTTCGTCACTGCCGACACATCTAGCTTGTGGTACGAAGCAAAGTTGACGATGGCCTTTTGCACATCTCGCACACCTTGCTCGTCTCCATCACCACCAGTAGACGTAGATGCTGGATTTGTCTGCAAAGCCGAGGAAGCACCTGCCTGGGAAGCACCATCGGCCTGCGGCTCTGCGTGGGAAGCACCATCGGCCTGCGGCTCTTCTGCCTGGGAAGCACCATCGGCCTGTGGCTCTGCCTGGGAAGCACCATTGGCCTGCTGCTCCTGAGTCTCCACCACCAGAGTTTGGGTCTCTTGCGTGGAGGGGTCTTCAGCAAGCACTAAGGTAGGAGCATCCCGAATAAGGGCAGCCATGCTGGCTAGCAAGGATCTAGGGATTGCCAGGGCGACCCGGTTTCGGGTGCTACACTGCTAAGCTTCTCCAGCTCGAGTTCCAGCATTTGCGTGGGTTGAGTCTTTTATCGATTCACACCACTGCAGATAGAGGAATAATTGGTGTTTGGCATCACGGAAACAGCTCAAAAGGGCTCATCGGGGGCTCATCGGGGGCTCATCGGGGGGGTCATCGGGGGGGGTTCTGCCGGAGCTCATTGCTATAGCGTGGCTTAACATCACCGGAGTTCATCACGTCTTGTCCCTAGGCTCATCGGGGGGCTCATCGGGTGGCTCATTGGCTTGACGGGTGCACCGGAGCTCATTTTTGACTGCTGCTTTAATAACACCGGAGATCATTGGGTTATGTTGGGTTTTGTAGATTTAGCTACTTTAGATCCATTTCAGTAAAATAGATCCAATCTAGCTGATTTAGATCCAATTTAATTGATTTAGATCCAGTTTAGCTGATTTAGATCCAATTTAGCTGTTTTAGATCCAATCTAGCTGGTTTAGATACACAGCAATAAATGGTTTGGATCCCGTATATCCTGTCTAGTTCATCTAGATCCCACGGCTCGTTGAGATCCTATTTCCTCGACTCGGCGGCAGTGCGGCGTATTGCGGATAGCAGTGCCCACGAAGCACAAGACCCGGCCAAGGATCCAATCTAGCAGCCGTATGGTACATATTTTGCTATATAGAGCCGACATATATAGCAACTGTACTACATAAATATAAGAGTAAACCCGAAATCCTGAATCCCAGCGGCGGGTTAGCTCGAATCGATCGCTGATCGATTGGATCCCGGTGATGCAGAGCGAGCAGCATATGCTGGATAGAGCAGATCCTATATATCTGGCCTATTCTATAATTATACATATATATACACATATATAATAAATATGCGTATAAGTACAAACCACTGTCTTGAGAACCCAGACTGCTCTAGTATATAAAGGATCTGCATCGTCGGCGGGTGGGGGCTCCTATATCTGCAATATACACCCTCTACAGCTAATTTAGATCCGATTTGAGGCTGGTTTAGATCCATCTAGCTAATTTAAATTCAATGTACCGGATAGATCCTGTAACTCACCGGTATATAGATCTATAGTATTAACCCATGGATCCTGGGAAATCCTGTCTGTACACAATATAGATCCAAAATCCCCACAATATAGATCCCCAAACTAGCTCTTCAAATCCAATGTACCCGATGGATCCTGCAAATAGCCCCTCAAATACCATCGCTATCTAAACCATCAATATATAAAGTGTAGCGTATAAGGTACAAGAATAACACGTTCCCAAGCCTAGCTCCTCAAACCAAATCGTCATCGATCTATAAATACAGTTGGAGCATATGGGGTGGTTTGCTTGTCTGCGGGAGCTCTACGTGCTATATACTATATCGATATTGATAACTATATATCTATATATCTATCTATCGTCTATTATAAAGATGTATATAGATATATATATATGCTCACCCCCCCCCCCGTTGACAGACCGCGGGTCTAAAAAACACCGTGCACGACGATATTCTATGAAGCAAAACCTTTACATGAGGTACATAGTATAGCACCAGACGTGCGGCACATGAGTTACGTAACAGTCTTGTGGTAGTATCGGTATTAGGGTGAGTATTATTATTAATATTAGTACTATTGTTTGCTGTAAGTATACGTATCAATATTGCCAACTATAAATTAGTGTTAGTGCTCATGTTCGTGTTAGAGTTAGCGCTAGTGCCAGTGTCAATGTCAGTAATACAGCACCACTGCTACGAGTAGTATCAGTATCAGTCTTAATGCTGGGTTTAACAGCAGCTTATATTCGCAGAAGTGCTAGTATTAGTATCAATATTAGAACTAGTTAGTTTGGATATGTTAGTATATTGATAGTCTCGTATATTAGCAGATGAGTATATCAGTACATCAATGTATTCGAACAGTAAAATATTTGCATACTTGTATACTAGTATATTTTACATGTTAGTACAACTGGTGCATGAATACACTACTATACTGCTGTACTAGCTTACTAGTATATTGACATACCAGTATATTCGAACGTTAGCATATTAGTGTACGAGTATGTGTACTATATGACTGTTTTATCTAATCATTTATAAGTATATCAGTATGTTGGCATATTGGATTGGTATACGAACTTGTCATGTCGGTATTCTTGCATAGTGCAGTAGCCGTATATGAGTACAGTCACATATTCGTGTAGTATACTCATACAACAACGAGAGGTATATTGATACATTGGTATATGGGCATATGCCTATGCCAAAGCATTAATACATGAATGCACTGACGTATATATCTGTATCTTAAGATAGTGGTATGTATTTTATGTACATTAGTATATGCAGGTGTCTATTAGTAATGATATTAGTCATCATATCAATATGAATATACTATTGGTGTTCGTAGCAGTATTAATGTCAATATTATTAGAAATAGGACTATTTATACTCGTAATAGCCATAATATGAGTGTTCATGCTGGTAATACTAGTGGCATTCTTGAATATTCAGCAGATTATCAAAGTCCGTACTAGTGTTGGTGATAGCATCACTGTTAACGCACAAGAGTTTACGTACTCGTATTCGTAGGAGTATCAATAGCTATGTAAATATTGATGTTAGTATAAATTTTGTGTGAAGTATTAGCAGTAGTGTTAGCTGTATTTTATGTACATTAGTATAAGCAGGTGTCCATTAGTAATGATATTAGTTTTCATATCAATATGAATATACTATTGGTATTCGTAGCAGTATTAATGTCAATATTATTAGAAATAGGACTATTTATACTCGTAATAGCCATAATATGGGTGTTCATGCTGGTAATACTAGTGGCATTCTTGAATATTCAGCAGATTATCAAAGTCCGTATTAGTGTTGGTGATAGCACTACTGTTAACGCACAAGAGTTTACGTATTCGTATTCGTAGGAGTATCAATAGCTATGTAAATATTGATGTTAGTATAAATTTTGTGTTAAGTATTAGCAGTAGTGTTAGCGTTAGTACTATAATATTATTGATGATATACATTCGAAAGAATGTTTGTAGTATTATTACTCTTGATCACGTGAAATTCTAACAGTTGAATACATGAGTGAGTTAAAGGATTTGTATTTTAATATGGTGGTATGCATGTTTATGTACATTAGTACATACAGGTGTGTGTTAGTATTGGTATTAATATACATTATTATCAATATGAATATGGTTATTGATATGCGTAGGAGTAATAAGAGCAATACTAATCAATCTTAGTATTTGTGTTATGCATATTCGTACTAAGCTTTATAGAAGTGTAATATTAGTAGTAATGCTGGTATTAGCTTGAGCATTCAACAAATGATCACTGTCAGTATTTCCAATGGCAATACTATATGTAGGAGTATCAATACATATATGTATATACAGATAGACAGGTAGATTGAGAGATATTCGTTTAAATATGGGCATGAGTATTGACAGCCCTTGCCTTTGCAAGTAAGTCGTGCATGGTCTGTCATCGGATGGGTCACAATCAGCCCTCCTGAGAATCAATTCCAAGGTCCAGAGATTCCAAAATTTCCAAAAGTTCCAAAACTTCCAAAATTTCCGAAATTTCCAAAATTTCCAAAATTTCCAAAATTTCCAAAATTTCCAAAATTTCCAAAATTTCCAAAATTTCCGAAATTTCCAAAATTTCCAAAATTTCCAAAAAGTCCGCCCTTATGTTTTGGAAAAATCCTGTCCACTAGGTCGGGCCGTTTTGGAATTTTGGAAATTTTGGAAATTTTGGAAATTTTGGAAATTTCGGAAATTTTGGAAATTTTGGAAATTTTGGAAATTTTGGAAATTTTGGAAATCCGGAAAGTTAAGGGAGAGAATTTTGGAAATTTTGGAAATTTTGGAATTGAGTTTTTGAAAGCTGAGTACCCCCTCCCCCGATCACAGACCATGCACTACGACTGAGTTGAAAGGGCATGGTCTGTCAACGAGTCTTTTGGTGGTTCCACAGATACGTTCGGAGGGCTCAAACTCGATACCCCGGAAAAAGCACGAACACACCGGTGGGAGCGATGTTTTGAAGGGGATGGTCTGTCAACGGGGGGGGGGTGACCATATATATATATGTAGCTGCTAGAACGTACCAACTCGATCGATCCTGCTTTCAACAGTTTCAGCATATGCAAAAATAGACTACTAGATCAAAAACTCACACCAATAACATAGTTCCACGTACTAAAATGGATCCCATAATACTGCTCCTCAAACCCAACATAAGATGGATCCCATACCGATAAAGCTCTAATCCGCAATGTAACCAATAGATCCTGATTGGATCCCTCTTATACCTGCCTGAAACGTGGATCCACGTATCTATCACTCGATCGTCAAAACCAAGCTACCAAACAGATCCCAAACCTAGCTTCTCTATAGCTTCCATTAATTCTTGGGGATGGGTTATCATTACCTTTATTACATATCTAAGGTACGTGCCCTGGATCCCACCGCCTGCGTGCACAGCGTGCTGCGGGCTCCGGCTGCAAGAGCTCACGACTTAAAGCAAACCACAAAAGCCTGGCGTCCTCATCTGTACATACCAGTACCTAGCACCCTGTGAAGTGGTGTTGGAAACTTCGATGGTCTAGGGACCGAAATTGAGACAAGAACTGGATCTACCTTTGGGGTAGGGTGCTATTTCGTATAGGGGTTTTGGGGTAGCTTGAAGGCCATGTGGCTGCAAGATTCAGATCCAGCTGGTTCTAAAGGGTTGGGGCTTAGGGGTTTAAAGCTTTAGTCTCCAGGGTCTCTGAGGGCACACCACACCGGCTCCTACACGGCAAGGATCAGCTGCCACTCATCAGCGGCCGGGATTCGAGCTGCCTTGGATTGGGGCATGGGTTCGAGGTTTGAGCTTCAGTACTTCTGGGGAAGCCAGAATCGAACTTCAGAGCCTGGAGACA